TTATGCTTTTGTATCTGGCTTAAAAATTTTTCTCTGTTGGGGCGACTGGTTGGCTCAGTCAGTTAAGCATCTGCCTTTAGCTCAAGTCATAATCTCAGGGTCCTGGGATCGAGCCCCACATAGGGCTCCCTGCTTAGTGGGAAGTTTGCTTCTCCCTTTCCCTGTGCCCCTCCCCACTGCTTGTACACTTGAGCGTGTGCTCTCTCTGTCTCTATTTCAAATAAATAAATAAAATCTTAAAAAAATCTTTCTCTGTTTTGAGGTCATAAAGATATTCCCCTATATTAGCATATTAGCTTTCCACATTTAGATCTAAGTGATTTTGTCCCACTAATGGGTTTAATGTTTGTATGTGTGTGTACACATAAGTGTATGAGAAATGCACAACTTTAGATTAGATACTTTTTGAAGGGTGGAGAACAGGCAGAATTGTAAAGTAGTTTGGAGGCATTTGCTCTAGTTTAAGAGGAAAAAGATGGTAGCTTTAACTTGAGTGGTAAGTGTGGCAACAGACAAATGATGGATTCAGCTGATACTTAGGAAGTAAATGAACATGACTTGATGATGATTAAATATGGAGGTGAAGGAGGGATTAAGGACAACCCCAGTGACTTTACTCTCTGTTGCTACCAACCAATGCTTTCAACCTTTTGTTTATTATTTTTCTATTTTATTGCTTCTCTCTAGTCAGTTTCTGGTTCTTCCTTGCTTCTTCTGGCTCCGCTTTCCCTCTGGGCATCCTTTGGCTTCTACTACTATTGCAGTTGGCTAACTCTGCACACAGAGCCAAAGAAATGTTCCAAGAGACTCTGACTGACCCAGGTATTCACTGTTACTCAGAAAGAGAAGACCCACTTATGAGAATGGATTTTCTTTTTCACCAAGCATTCTTTAATAATGTCCAAATTATGAACTTGCTTTCTAGAACACATACTTAGAATAGAAACTTCTCATGACTCTAAAACAATTGTGGATAGCAAATATAATATTTGAAGCTGGTCTCCAACACAGAGAGTTTCAGTTATTAATAGTATGCCTGTCAGAGCTTTGACTCTGAGATATTTCGTTCATACGTAAACCATAAATTTAAGCTGACAGTCCTACTAATGATGGAATGCAGTTATGTATGTATATGGTAAAAGAACAAAGTGGATATTTTTTGAACCTTATCATATGCAAGACAGATTAAAAACAGTAGTCATAGAGAATGAAAATAGGGCTTGATGTCACGTTCAGTAAAACATGTTAGAGGTGAGGTCTCAGAAAGTACTGCAGTAAAATACGACGGGAAGGTGTTGGAGTGGCAAGGGGTTTCATTTAAACATGAGGCTCCTGTATTAATATTTTCATTGATTTATTTTCATGCCAATATGTTCTGACATAAATATGGTGATCTATAATGTATCGACCATAAAAGTCAACATTATTTTTAAAGCTGACTCAGGGAAATAAAACCTGATTGTTAGTGCTGATATATACGGTATGTTACCGTGTTGAAAAATTAACCTCTCCTCTTCTGCACTAAATAAGGAAGATGCATTTCAACACTGCTGACCTTTTGTGTATGTTTTGCTTCATGGACAAAGCTGAGTTTGCAATGGGACCAGTGTGCAGTGTGAAGTAAAGAGCAATGCGCATTCACCATTCGTCAGAAAAGACTTTGACAAGAATGAAAGCTGATTTATTCAGCAAAAATCTTTGCCTTTTAGAGGATCAAAAGACCTGTAAAAGTATCTGGGTGAGATACTGCGGAGTTCATAACAAATATCTTCAGTAAACTCTGAGACTAGCACGAGACCCTAAGACAAAGAGGATACTGGGGATGTGTCAGCCATGGGTGACCACAGAGGAGAGACTCAGTCTGGAATGCCAGAGGCAGGGGCACACCCTTGTGGTCTACACAGGCCAACCACAATGATGATAAGGCCTTCAATGAAATGATTCTACAAAATGAAGATTGAGCCAAGGAGAGTTTAATTTAGCAGCATAGGAGAGTATGCTAAGAAGACCCGAGTGGATTCGGATGACTACTTCTTTCCCTACGTTCCAGAACAGAATAAATTTGCTGAGAATAAGAACATACCAAGATTTTTAGAGCCATAGGGGCCCTTGGGTACCAAGCAAGTGTAATCACTTGATAGATGAGGAAACTCTTAACTGAGCAATTTGTCCAAGCTCAGGTAGATGGTTAATGGCTGAGCTGTGTCTGATTCCAGACATCCTGATTCTCTGTCCAGGGCCCTTTCTGCTCTGTTATACCAGCTGGGAGCCATGACTAGTAATGCATGTGCCGGGAGGACATTCCACAGGACCACTCGAATCTGGTTTCCAACCCGCCACTGTACTGCAGCTGATCTTGTCAAGGCTCTCACTAGCCTGCGTGTTGCCAAATCCTATGGGAACTTTCCTGACTCCATTTAAATCTCTAACCAGCATATGCTGCAGTCACTGAAACAGTTTTCTCCACTAGTTAGGATTTCATTCCTGGTGAGGGAAACCCATGCCAAAGGTGACCAAGTAAAACAATAATTTATTGCTCATATAATCATTGACATCATAAGGCTGGCTTTTATAGATGGTGCTACCAAGACTGCTTTTTCTCTATATTTCCTGGCCCCACTTTTTCCAAATTGGCTTCATTTTCATATGTACTCTTCGGTTTTAGTGACAGGATGGCTGTCACAGACCACTCTTTCATTTAATGATGTGCAAATCCAGCAGGAAAAATTATGCCTCAGCCAGGAGTTCCTGGGATTAGCACTGATTGCTCCTCTTGTCTTGTTTTAAGTTCTTTGTTTATCTCTGAACCAACCATTGTGACTGCATTGATTGGCGGAGGCTTTGGTTAAATGCTCCTACCCTCTGACCCAGTGGAGATAATTAGCTTCATCCAAATTCCGTATATTTAGAGCGAGGGGGCGGTGGCTCTCCTAAAACACATTTGGGGTCTTCTTACAGGAAAGGGAATGAATACCAGGCAGCAAAAACAACAAATGCCTAGAACAACTTCTCTGGTGTGATAATGCCCTAGTATGTCTCCTACTTCACTCTTTTCAGTCTTATTCACTGTATTGCCCTCCTCAACTTGATCCTCAGGGCCCAGTTCCAGACCTTGTCCCCTTCCATGTCTATATTTACTCTCAAGGTGATTTTATTCAGTCCATTGTGAAAGCAAATTGGCATAGCCCAGGACATTTTGAGTTAACCTTGACTAACATGGTAGTTGAAATTGTAGGCATGGAATTTAGTAAGAGTGTTGAATGGGAATTCTTGATAGAAGGGATAATTGTTGACATAAATGTATCTGAGAATGCAGACGACCAAGCTTCTCCTTATCCTTTGCTCCAAAGATAAGGGACAAGATTGGAAAATATTTACAAATACGTAAATTCACAAAGAATAAACTTTATTAGTCAGATGGGTTAAAAATCCTCTTAAGGTTATATCTATATATACGTGCTCTTCTCCATGTGAAATTGAATTTCTAGCCTGTTTATTTGCTGGGGAGGTAAAGAAATCTCCTGGGATATTTTCTTTCTTTCTTGCAGAGGTTTATTGTGATCATCTATGGAATATAATCTTTAACCCTGAGGCTATGGTTACTGCAAAGCTTGCTTTACATATTTGTTGTGAGGAATTGCATTTATTCACTATGTGTCTATTATAAGAAATTGTATATATTAGACTATGTCAGGGTGGAAGATTGGATTTATGTAGCTAAGTTGTTGCATGCCATCCTGCTCTGTTGAAGACCTCACTAACTTTATTCCATAACTCTATTTCTACATAAATTCATAAACCTAATTTCTAGTCAGAAGCCATTAGAACCCTTTCTTGGCTTTCTTTTTCTTTTTTTTTTTTTAATTTAAAGATTTTATTTATTTATTTGACAGAGAGAGAGAGAGATCACAAGAAGGCAGAGAGGCAGGCAGAGAGAGAGGGGGAAGCAGGCTCCCTGCTGAGCAGAGAGCCTGACGGGGGGCTTGATCTTAGGACCCTGAGACCAGGACCTGAGCCAAAGGCAGAGGCTTAACCCACTGAGCCACCCAGGCACCCCTTGGCTTTCTTGTTATAGGTTTATTTGAGAAAAATAAATCTGTGATTCTATAAGAATAATACCCAACCAGTATATGAAACCTATTTTTTTCATGCCACTTAAATATATCTTGATAACTGCCTAATCGATACCCACAGCCCAGTTCTGTCTCCTGAACTCCAGACTTGTGTATCCAACTGCCCATTTGGCACTATCTGGATATTTACAGATTTCATCAACTTAGTGTGGCCAAGAGTGAGCTCCTAATTTCCTCCTCCACACCCCCACCCCCGCCACCAAATCTGTCTCTCTGCTCAACATTCTTCATAACTTCTGTAAATGGGACTGTTTGCCCATAGTCCACTCCCTGACATTCCCTTAGTCCAGATTGTTCTGATGTTGCGTTTGGTCCTAGGACTCAAATCACAAGGCCATTTCCCTGAAAGCCTGTCTGTTCTTTGAACATATCATGCTAGTTCATGCACCAGAGTCTCTACAATTCCTGCCACCACTGCTTGGAACACACTTACCATAGCTTTTTTCTCTGCATGGCTGAATTCATCATATCCTTCAGATTTTAGCTAAAATGTTAGTTCTGAGAGGGCTTTTTACTATCTGAAACAATTTGTGCTGTAATCCCTTACTATAGGACCTTGTTCCTTGTTTACTTTACATCTGTCAGTAATCAGTGCTTAGACTTAGTTAAGAAATCAGTACAGATTTGCTAGCTGTCATCCACTTTTTTAAATTCTGTATTTAATTTTTTTATTCTGTATTACAAGATTAGCCTAGTATGTTCTAGTCTTTTCCCTCTAGTCTACAACCTTCTACTAGGAAATAATACAATAAGAGTGACTTTTGTTTGTTGAGTACTTATCACATGCTGTTTCTTTCCTTCTGTCCTGATTTAGTAATTGTAGGATTTTCTTCATGTGTCTAAATGCTATCTGTTTCATTTGCTAAGTTTTCTGCTGTTACTCTAAGCTACTGCCTCTTGGGAACCTTCAGTCGCTCTCTTTTAAAAATCTCTCTCTCTCTCTCTCTTTTTTTATTGTAGGGGGTATAACATGTATTCTTTCACTAATCTGTGCCTTGGTTCTCGCTTACTTGGATCAGAGAGCAGAGAGAATCCTTCATAAAGCACAAGGAAAAACAGGTAGGTCTAAATGCAGGAAAAGGGGGGCTTTGGGGAATTGCAGACCTTTGAAGATAATTTATAATGAGGTAAGTTCCTAATATAGTGTTATAAGTTCAGTGAGGCTTAATACATGTTATACTTTCTAATCTGTTCCTACTTATCTAAGTTTTGGGGTACTTTTTTTTTTCCCCTTAAGTGCTTTTGGCAGAATTTACATTCTTGATTGCACTTTGTGTATTTGCAAAATGATGAGTGTTCCTGGAAGACAGCAGGAGAGTAGACACTAATATTAGATTTTGTTTTTTCTAATGTCTTTTTAAGTTTTCCCAGAAGCTATGTTCCAGTAATTTACTGAGAAAAGTATTTTGTAAACTGGATGGCAAAGGTTAATCACACGATAAAAGAAAAACAATTTTGACCTAGATATGCAAAATGATGCTGGTAGTTTCTTCCTTTTCTTTTCAAGGTGAAGTTATTAAGGTAACTGATGTGAAGGACTTCTCCTTACCCCTCTGGCTGATATTTATCATCTGTGTTTGCTATTATGTGGCAGTGTTCCCTTTTATTGGACTTGGGAAGTGAGTATTCTGTAGCATTGCATTTTTGTTGGCTAAATTATAATGAGAATTTAATCACACAAATACAATTTTGTTAGTTATAAATCTTGATTTTTTGGTTATAGTTTATATTTACATAGGAATTATTTTATATCCTGGGATATAACTGATTTTCTTAAGGTTTAATATTTGGCATAATAACTTTCATTATTTTTTTGATGAAATACTTAATAGTTTTTGATGCCTAATGTAGATTTATTTTAATGCTTTGTATCAGATTAGTATTCTTTTTTATTTCCTCTTTATTCTTTTGTTTGGAAGCCTATTCTTGAGAATGGAAACAGTACTTTGGCTCATTATGCCTGGGCACATTTCCATTTGCTAGGACTATAAATATGCCGGGGTTCAAAATCAAATTCTTTTTTGTGTTACCACTTACCTCTTTCTTTCCACTGGCAGCTGTTCGAACAGAGCAGTGTGTGAGTGTGCTTATAGGGGTGCGTCTTTATAATCGGAACCTTTAAATTCAGACTGTTTTCAATAATTTGAAACTCTGTTTGCAAAGAACCTGTCCAGTCCCACTTTATGGAAAAAAAGCACTCTTAATTTTGTGTTGTAATAATTCATTTGGTTTTCTGAAAATTTATGCATACTGTTTGGTGCTTATTTAAAATGAAAAAAATCAGGGTGCCTGGGTGGCTCAGTCAGTTAAGCGTCTGCCTTCAGCGCAGGTCATGATCCCAGGGTCCTGGGATTGAGCCCTGCATCGGGCTCCCTGCTCAGTGGGAGCCTGCTTCTCATTTCCCTCCGTACTTCCCATCCGCTTGTGCTCTCTGTGTCCCTCTCTATCTCTCTTTCTCAAATAAATAAAATCTTTTAAGAAAGAATAATAAAATGAAAAAAATCCACATCAGCGTATTTTACTTAGCTAGTGAAATATTTATGTAAACCCTAAAGCTTTAGCACCAGTTGCTTAAAGATGAATGTTATATAAGGTGGGATAACAGTATCAAGAAGGAAAAGTTGACTAAACTTAGAGTTACTTTTATGTAGTTTTATTTTGCCTTTAATTATTAAAAACAGAGTAGTTTTCTAAAGTGCTTATTTCTCTCTCTCTCTGTATTTTAGAGTTTTCTTTACAGAAAAATTTGGATTTTCTTCCCAGGCAGCAAGTGCTATTAACAGGTATTTCATTAATCCTCTTGAGTGCTTGTTGTGTGCATAGCGTGTGTCCTTAATTATAAGCAAATGTTCTAAGAGACAAAAAAGGCACGTGACTTAACATCTGTAATGTGAAACCAAGAGCATGTTGCCACTCGATCCTGAGAGACCATCTACGCATTAACGGAAAATCGAAGAAATCTTGGACCACTCTTTAATATTTAAATTTCTGTTTACTGATGACAATTTTAGAAGAATGTTTAATTAAACAAGCTAGGATTTGCTTTGCCTAATAGTTTTAGGAACTTTTTGGATTTTTTTTTTTTTTTTTGGGAGCTGTGATACATTTCATTAAATATCTTTTGATTCTCTGGGCAGTATTGTATATGTCATATCAGCTCCCATGTCCCCAATATTTGGGATCCTGGTGGATAAAACAGGAAAGAACATCATCTGGGTTCTGTGTGCCGTGGTGACCACTCTCGCTGCCCACATCATGCTGGCCTTCACGCTGTGGAACCCTTGGATTGCTATGGTAATGTCACTGTAGACGCTCACAGGGCACAGGGCTTCAGGGAGGACTCTGTCAAGTGCACGTCAGGAGCCACACTCTGCTCCTCTGAAAGTCGAGCTTGTGACAGTAGGAGGAACAATGCTGTGATTGCAGTCTCTACAAAATAACTATTTTTAAAGTAAATAAATGTTAATTATTAATGAATAAGATATTTTTAATTTTATTTGGCTTATTTAACGTAGTAATCTCAATGCTGAAATAGAATTTGAAATAAAGTAGTCTTTTAAAAGCCAAATTGCTTACCAGTTCCATTTATTTTCCTGTATTTCTTTAAAAAATTCTTCCATCATAGGTGGCACGCAAAAAAAAAAAAAAGTCTGTCAGCCCAGGATTCATGATTTTGCATTCTTTTGTCTTTGACCTTTAGGCAGTTAAAAAGTGATAATGAATTCATCGTCAGGTTTTTGTTACTATCCTTTAGAATATCATTTTAAAGACCACAGGCTCAAGTGCTACAGTTCTTACCTATTAATAAAAGAATATTTTGGGCATATATGTTTGTTGTACACTTAGTAAAATTTCTGTAGGACAGATTCCTGGAGGTATAAATGCTGTAGCAGAGGCTTTGCACATTTAACATCTTGATAGACATTGTGAAACTTCTTCTCTAAGAAGTTCTTACCCATTATAGTTTTACCAATAATATACGAATGTGTGTGTGTTTTTAGTATCCTAGCCATGGTGGGCATTGGCCCAATTTCAATCTTTGCCAGTATCATAGGTGTAGATGATCTTATTTAAACTTAAATCATAAGGTTTCTTTTTTAACGAAAGAAAAAGTCAGCATTAGGTGATAGTTTTCTGCCTTGCCCTCCAGTTAGGTGTTGATGATCTGAAGTAAGATAATGGACTGTTGGTGTGATGTTGCCTTGATTGCTTAATTTGTAGTTAATAAATACTGGAAAATTACCTTGCCTGAAACATTGGTAGTAACTTTTTGCAAATTAGCTTTATTTTCTTGCTTAGTCCTTGATTGTACCCTGGGACCAGTAAGTTATGTGTGCATATAATATAATATGGTTAAGATAGTGTGTTTTGTCACTAGAGGGATACTGTTAGGGTCTAGACTTTTTTCTATCAAATGAGTTTTAGCAAAATTGCAGTAAAATTTGCATGAATGTTCATATATTTGCTGTTATGTCACTCTGGCTAATCTGCATCAAAGGAAAATCACCTTTTGGTTAATGTTAAAAGACTTTTACGTTTTTCTGTGTCACTTTCTGCAGTGTCTCCTGGGACTCTCTTATTCGTTGCTTGCTTGTGCATTGTGGCCGATGGTGGCATTTGTAGTTCCTGAACACCAGCTGGGAACTGCATATGGCTTGTAAGTGTTTACACCATAATGTCTCCCTGCTATAGCAATCATGAAACTCCAGGTCTCCTGAACCTAGTCATCATCATGCTTCTGGGACAGCTCTGAACCTGGAAACCACCAGAAAAGTCAGTTTACCTACTTATGATATTATTGTGGCAACAGAAATGCCTTAGTCTTCCAGCAAGAGAGTTGGTATTAAGCTAATCCAGAAGTTATTTCTGACATTGCCATTGACTGCCTTTTTATCTGAGGGCTTCTTAGTGAGAAGTTTGAGTTCTGGTGTCTGACCCAAAGGGCAAAAGGGGGAAACTGCACCCATGGTTGGTATTCACTTAGCTCTTACTTTCAATCAGCAGGAAAATGTTGAGCTTATATTGCATTTAATAAGACAGGCTCCCTTACCTCTGAGCATAACATCTAGTAGCAGAAATAGTCATGGGATAAAAATACCTGATCAGGTCATCCCTAGGTAAAAACACCTCTTAACACTAATAGTATGTAATTTATAGATACTGATATTTAAAGTGAACTGTTACTGTGTGTATGAAGATGTGTCTTTATATTTCTTGAATTGTAGCATGCAGTCCATTCAGAATCTTGGGCTGGCAATCATTTCCATCATTGCTGGCATGATATTGGATACTCGGGGATATTTGTTTTTAGAAGTTTTCTTCATTGCTTGTGTTTCTTGTAAGTATGTGATATGGCAACATTTAGTTTCTTTTAATGGATAACAATGTTTTCATTTATACTTCTAGGTTTTTGTTGTTATTATTCTCTTTTTCCCTCTTTTAAACCAAATCCCTAAGATGTATCTCCCAGATTTGCCTATTTCTTAGTCTGTGCATCAGAGTTTCCCAGCTGGTGGCTTTCTGGTTCTGTGAAGATTCACAGGCATTTTTTAAAGGAGATTCTTATTTTTAAAAGTAGTAGTAGAATCTGCTTCTTATTCTATTTTAGATATTTATGGTTTTTAGAAAACATTATCCTCTTTAAAGTGAAACCATTTTAAAGAGTGGTGAGTATGTCCCTGGTGTGAGTGTGTGGACATTGATAAGATTCAGGTGTGAGTGCTCATGGTTTATCCATAAGGCAACTTTAAGTTGCTTTTATTCTTGGCCCGGTTACTTAACGTTTACCTGTAATGATTTATTGGTTAAAAATAGGAAGTATTAGGAAACTGTTGAAAACTACAAAAATAAACATTTTTCCTGTGGTAGGCTTCACCATACAGATAGTTGTATTCATCTTATAAATTCTTATAAACATATCAAGTTGTCTTTTATGCTTTGACATGTGTTTAAAATGGCAAACCCCAGCAATGATTTTATCATTTACATTTACATGGATAAAAGACAGTTTATACTTGAAATGTGGTTTATGATGTGCCTGAATGCATTTTATTATCCCATAATTTTAGAAGTAAACACATCAAATTTTAAAAATATGTTATTTGTTTTTAAAAAGTGAATCATGTAGAATTCAAAATACTCAGGTCATGGAAGTGTTTATGTCTGTTTGATGCTGCGACGGTGGTTTAATTTCAGTCCACAACTCTATATATATTTGGTTCTTAAACCAAATACCATGCTATTTAGAATTGTTTTTTTTTTTTTTTAAGATTTTTTTATTTATTCATTTGACAGATAGAGATCACAAGTAGTTAGAGAGACAGGCAGATAGAGAGGAGGAAGCAGGCTCCCCACTGAGCAGAGAGCCCGATGCGGGGCTCGATCCCAGGACCCTGGGATCATGACCTGAGCTGAAGGCAGAGGCTTTAACCCACTGAGCCACCCAGGCGCCCCTAGAATTGTTTTTGTTGCCATATTAACCTAAAGTAAATTTAGTGTGCCTTACTTGTTATGGTAAAAAGACAAGCCATGACTTTCTGAGGTTTCCACTGGCTCTGGGCTTTCTGGGCTTCTGGGAGTCAGATGACCACATTCTAACACTTGGTTAAATTGTAAAATGGATGTGGTGTTTTCAGACTTAAAATCCTGAAAGGATTGTTTCTGTTCGGTTCTCTGTAAAAAGATAAACAGTTAGGGGGCTGGCAGGAGTTTTTGGAAGTACCAGGAAAACTAACACTTAAACTAGAGAGTAAAGAGCAGCAGGGGTGATCTCTGGGTGGATCAGCTCCATCCCTTCTCTCAACTGCTTTTTTTCTGGTCCTGCTATCCCTGGGCTCATGTAGCCCATGGGAAAAAAATGGTGTGCAATTAATTTTTAGTGGTTTTTGGAAAATAATGGGAATAGTGTTTTTATTTTTAAATGCCAATCAATGAAGATTTATCTGAGTTTTACTTTGTAATTATGATTACATAGGAATCGTTGGGAAGAGGTACATGTTTTTTAAGGACCCTGTGATTTTTTTCACTTGCAGTGTCACTTTTATCTGTGGTCTTACTCTATGTGGTGAATCGTGCCCGACGTAAGTAGAATTCAGACATTTTCTTCTTAAACCATCGTGGATCATCTTGTGGGGTCCCTGGATTGTCTGCATGCCTCTTTAGAGGCCAGTGCTTTAGTTCATGTAATAATGACAATCTGTTCATATGTTCATGGAAACACATTTCATTATGTAACATATAACTATGCATTTTGGAACTTCAGACTTATTAAATCATTGTCATGTTCTTTCTGGCCAGTTCAATTTAAGTTTTGTAATAGAAAATTTTAGATGTTCTTTTTATGTTAGCATAAGGAAGTATGGCAGTTTTAAAATAACCTAAAGCCATTACTGTGTTATTGTCTCATATTTAAAAAAATTAGTAAGCGGAAGTGGGGGGTGGGTAGAGGGGCTGGGAGGGATGGGGTCGCTGGGCTATGGACACAGGGGAGGGTATGTGCTATGGTGAGTGCTGTGAATTACGTTAAGACTGATGATTCACAGACCTGTACCCCTGAAGCAAATAATACATTTTATGTTAATAAAAAAATAAGTAAGCAAATTTATAGTTATAGTTTGTATTTTAAGGTTGAAAGTGTTTGATACAGAATGAGGTGTTACAGATTTTTTTTCTTTTGCTAGTATTTTTTTTTAAAGATTTATTTATTTATTTATTTGACAGACAGAGATCACACGTAGGTAGAGAGGCAGGCAGAGAGAGAGAGGGGAAAGCAGACTCCCCGCTTGAGCAGAGAGCCCGAGGCAGGGCTCGATCCCAGGACTCTGAGACCATGACCTGAGCTGAAGGCAGAGGCTTTAAACCACTGAGCCACCCAGGCGCCCCTCTTTTGCTAGTATTTTTTAAATGCATTTGTACTTCTTTCTTTCTTCTGTATAAGATTTTGATGTTACTCTTATTAATTTTTCTAACTAGGTTGCCCCTAAAGGTTGTTAGGTACTTAGTAAAATGTGTAAACCTGCTGTTTAAATGATTTTAGGTCATTCCTTTCATTTCTCTTAATTTCCACTATTTACTGATTATTAATACAATGTCTGAGTTAACAAGATGTAAAGAAGTATGTAGGTCCAAACTTAAAAAAAAATGCTCAAATTAAGAAGTGGTTATTTGTATTTGTATCATATAAAGATTCTTTTTTTTTTATTTTTTTAAAGATTTTATTTATTTATTTGACACACAGAGAAATCATAAGAAGGCAGAGGGGCAGGCAGAGAGAGAGGTGGATGCAGGCTCTCCTCCGAGCAGAGAGCCCGATGCGGGACTCGATCCCAGGACCCTGAGATCATGGCCTGAGCCGAAGGCAGAGGCTTAACCCACTGAGCCACCCAGGCGCCCTCATATAAAGATTCTTAAAAAACATTTTTTCCCTTGGGAAGGCCCCAGGAGATAAACCATTTCTTTGTCATCTCCCATTGCCTTTTCTGTTACTTTAAGGTATACCAATGCATGTGTGTGTGTGTGCGTGTGTGTGTGTGTGAATTTTACTTTTAATAGTTGTGTAGAAAAAGTTCTATGCTTATTTGTATTTTAGGGGGGAACCTAAATTATTCTGCAAGACAAAGGGAAGAAATAAAACTTTCTCATGCTGAGTAAGTACTGAAAGAGAAAAATTCTCTCCTTTTGCAAATCTGAAACATTAGCATTTTATTTCCAAGTATCAGGTTTGGGCTCTTAAGAAACTAGTCGTCTTGAGATTCGAGAGCTAGCGATTATCTGGGAACTACTACAACAAAATTCTTGTTTATAGAAAATTTAAATAGGGTAGATATCAAGGGTTAAAGTGAAGGGGGAAAAATAACTGGGTTTTAAATTGCTTTTTGAGAGAAAGGGAGACCTGTAGTATTTGTAATTTATTAGAGGAAAGGTCTTTGTCCTAAGCTTATGTTCTGGGCTTACCCTTCCATTGTCTTATCTTTTGTTTTTCTTAACTATTTGAGATAACTTTTCATCTTCTCCCGCTACTAATATTCTGTTCTCTGACTCGGAACAAATTAAGTATCTAGTGTGGCATTAAGTTAAACTTATTTTTTCCATAAGTGTATGCTAAAACGTAATAGTGATTCTATTTCCTGTTATTATGATTTCTGATTTTTTAGGTACTCAGTTTTTTATGACTTAAAACATTTATTTGTAAACATATATTATGTAACTATAAGTTTTGTGAATTTTATATAGGTTAAAATCTTGTAGAACAAAGGATTTTTTGGGAGGTGATTCTTGGCCATTTCAAATTTCCTTTTAACATAGTAATTCTAGAAATATATCTTGAGAAGATAATCAGAAATGTTACAGGTTTTAAGTATCTTTATGACAGTCTTGTTTGTTATGTCAAAAAATTAGAAACAGCGTGAGTGTCCCAAAGTAGGGAAGTGGTTGAATAGATGATGACACATCCATATAATACATTGTTACAGTCATGTTTGAGGATTTTAAAAGTCAGAAGTAATTCCCTCCCTGCACCAAATCAGAGTTGCTTACCATGCCACATGTTAAGTAGACAAAAGATTAAAATGCAAATGTAATATTCTGATTTTGTTCAGGAAAAAGTATGCAGGCACGTGTATTTCTTATTTACATACTTGTATATAATAGAAGAAATACTGAAAGAAAAAACCCCCAATACTAACAATTCTATTTGAATGGTAAGGTTACAGGCATACTTTTTCCTTTTGTTTTTCTGTATTTTCCAGATTTTCTATGTTGATCTTAATGTTACTTTTATAATCAAGAAGATTTAAGAGTTTATTCAGCAAAGTGTTCAACCTTTAACATTTGGCAGTATGTGTTTTGTAATGCTAATGGTTTTTATTTTGTAAACCAGATGAGGCTGCTGTTTTTCCCCCCTTCTGATAATTTACTGCATTGTTTTGCAGATGAGAAACTTAAATGACTGTGTCATGAGAATGAGCTGCACACATCATTGGTCTGAAAACCTCACTTTTTTTTTTTTTTTAAATCTAGAGTTTAATCAGGAATAATAATGGTCTGGAAATTTATATTTATATTTCAAAAGCATCTATTTCAGAGTATGTTTGTGAGGAATATTTTAGCTTGTGTCTTATGTACTGTTTATTGCTAATGAATTCTGCTTTAGACTAGGCTAATCAACAGTAAAGTTTAGAAAGTTCCTCTGGAATATGCAGGTGAACTTTGGTAAGGACAGTAAATAATGGAAAACTTGGATCTGGCATTGAGATAATTTTCAGAAGATGTTTCTTAAGGATATGGCTTTTTTTTTTTTTTTTTAAATCTTAAAACAAAAAAAAGCTTTTGAGAGGGTAGAAGGGATATTTTATACAGAATAAACAATGTTATTTTAATAGGCATTCCATGTTTCTGTAGGGAATATTTGAAAGATATCTTTTATGCAGTCTCTTCATTTTTACAAATAGCAGATTGTATTCTGCTATCTTTAGTTAGAAGAGGTTGCTGAGGTTTTCTTGAGCTTCTTTATCTCTCCATTATTGAGGACACTGATCACTTAGGGATATAATTTTATGGTATAAACTTTCTGTACAGTTTTTTCTTATAATCTAATTAATTACTAAAAAGTGTCCTTTAAATTATGATAGTTGCATATCTACATGAATAAAAACACTGCAAAAGGAATACTTGATGTCTTCTAAAACTTTATTTTAAAAAATATGAAAATACTGATTTTAAGTCTTATTTATTTGGAAGACTATTTCTGTAAGATAATCAACGTCAGAGTAAAGAAAATTTGCCTTTGAAAATCAATGGAGTACTGTTTTCTCCAGAGTAGAACCTAAGTAACATGTATGATTTCCAGGTTAAATAAAATACAATTATAAAATTTCTTTTGACAAACTTAAAAACTTTTTAATTGACTTAGTTTTAGCATATTATATATTAAAGTCAAAGAATTTTTCATGTGTTTTGCTCTCCAGGAGTATGCAGATATTTTAGACAACTGTTAAACTGTCATATTTAGCTAGTTGTATTGTTCAAAATATAGGACATAAGATTGTATGCTTGAAAGTTCTGGGACAGATTGAAAGTACATTCCTTGTTCAGGTCAAGTTTATTTACATCCATTTTTCTGATTTACAGTTTTATTGTGTCATTATTCATTGTTTGTTCTTTTGACTTTGACTGCCATGTGACTTTTGTAGCCCAGATTATTGAATGTTGGCTTTACCAGCTGGTGAGAGTGGAAGAAGCCAGTTGCTGCTGCTGCTGGAGGGCTTGTGTGGTCTGGCCCCTGCCTTACTCTTTCCACTGCCTCCGTGCCTCAGCCATAACGAGCTGCTTCATTACATTTTTTCAGATGGGTCCTCTTCCTTGCCTTTTCAGGGGCTTTGTCCTTGCTGTTCCCTTTGCCTAGAATATTTCATCCAGGATTCTTTACAACCTGGTTTTACCTGATTTACAACAGAAACCTTAGCCCCAGCTCAGACGCATTTTTCCCAGGGAAACTCTTCCAGACCTTCAGGCTATATCAAGTTCTTCTAAAATTTTTGTGATTTTTGAAAAGCCCCGTATTTTTCCTTCTTTGTTCACCTCAGCTTATAATGAAGAATTTGTGATAGTGTGGGTGGGGGCGTCTCGCTCTTCCTTTAGATTGTAAGCTCCATGAGGGCAGGGACCATGTCTAATGTGTTCATTATGATTGTGTTGATAGTTCCTAGCAAAAGTAGGCACAAAATAAATATTTTTTTGAATGATATATAAATAAAAAGAATAAAATGAAATAAGTTTTTGGAGGATAATTTGGCAATATGAATAAAAAGACCTATAAAGGGAATGATGATGGGCTTCATACCTTTTGGCATAGCAGTTTCATTTCTAATAATTTACCCCAAGGGAACCACCAGGCAAATATACACATAAATGTATTTTAAGAAAGTGTTTTCATAGCAAGATTGCTTTATAATAGCCTAAAATAGGAAGTCACCCACGTTTATAAGAATAGGTAATTTGTTAAGTACATCATAATCATATGCTTTAAGTGAAATATTAAAACAGTCATTAAATGGTTTCATTAGAGAGCATTGACATGGAATGATGGCATTATTATTATTATATGAAGATTCAGAGTGCTGCTTTTTTTTTTTTTTTTTTTAAAGATTTATTTATGAGGGAAAGAGAGAGCCTGCCTGCATGGGAGAGAAACCCAAGCAGACTGCGCTGAATGTGGAGCCGTTTGGGGCTTGATCCCATAATTCCCAAGATCACGACCTGAGCCAAAATCAAGTCAGATGCTCAACTGACTGAGCCACCCAGGTGCCCCCAGAATGCTGCTGTTTTTATAAAAACAAACAAACGTGTCTGAAGGATATGTATGTAAATGCCTTTGGATGAGGACTTTCTTTTGGCTTATTTATATTTTCTAATTTTTCAACAGTAAATACTGTAATAGAAGCTTTTAAAATCCCACAAAGAAGAAAATTAAATACAAGTTTGAGTGCTACTTTTGAGGAAAGTGGTAGTTGGTTTTCAGAAAGGAGGAAGGTAACAGATAGTGTTTCTCAAAGAACTTTGGAGACGTAGGTGGGAATTAACAGGTCCCTGAGTTAGAATTTGCATTGACTGGAAAAAAATTGCATGTGAAGGGAACCTTGAGAGACAGAATAGAGAATGGGGTAAGGGCTAATAACACACTTTCTGATCTCATTGGTGGCACAGTACAGCTTCAAGTTGTCTGCAGACTATCCATGATTTCTGGACTGTCTCAACCTCAGCCTCATACTCCCTCATACTCCCTTCCATTAACTTGTTCTTGGAGTGCACCAGGGGAAAATTGAGTTCAGGCCCCGAACAGAGATTTGCTCTCTAGAAGTTAATGGGGGAAAACTTTGATCTTTTGTAGGAAATACTGAACAGTCCTTGACATCATGCAGGTAGGCCAGACAACCAAACTGTTTACAAACTTATTACCACATAGTCTCATGAGCTGTTCCTATATAAGGTCATGTACTCAAGTATATATGTCTTCTCCTTGGTGGATCTTTATCAGTACCACATGTTGTCAGTGACCCTGCCTAACTCACTCAGCTTCTTAAAATGATTTTTTTCCTCCATATCTTTGCAAATTAATTGTGTAGTGAAAATCAGTGGTATTTCTGTTTGGGATTAGTATGTCCTTTGTAGAAGTTTGTCTTTTTTGGTCTCTTTGAAGAAGATCATCTTCTATGCTCGTCTCCTAAGTTTTACTAGGTTGTAACTTTCTGTGCTTCCATTTCCTGATCAGCAAAATGGAGTATCATTAGAGTTTCTTCTAGCACTCATGTACTTAATTTATGAAACATACGGATATGGTCGATTACCACATATTAGATATATATTCATTGGTGGATGATGACCTGAAACACTGTCTAGAGAAATATCCATCCATTCCTTGCATTTAGTTGATGAATTGGAGAATATGGCTCTCCTAGGATTCTGCTCGGATTCCTTTGGGCACTCTGGCAAATAAATAGAGCATGCTGAGAAATTTCTAGGACACAGTGGGTTGTTCACGAACAGATGAAAGTGTGGGCTGATGACACTTTTAAGCTTCTTGCGAGGTTTATCCAACTCCTTCCCTCCTCCCCCAGTATTGAAGCTTGTTCAGTTTTCTGAGGGAAATCTGACTATTTCAGGTTCTGTGTCTTAGCATGTTCAGTTAGTTTTTAACCTTTCAAAGCAGATCCTGCCTGCCCTGGGGAAGAGGTAAATACAAGTGTCAGGACACAAGGTGAACCCCTCTTCTTTTTCCCCCCTCCTGCCCGCATTAGAGCCCAGATTTCACAGGGTACAGTGCACAAGAGTTGGGTAGTTGATGGAGTGAGTGAGGAGGAGGTTGAGAAGAGAATGGCTGGGCTTGAGCAGCAACTGCGCTGGGAGAGAAATGACTGGAAGGAGAACAGGCCCTGTATTAGCAAGGGGAAGCCTGGGCTGGAACACAGAGGAAGTGGGCAGATGGGCCTGGAGACAGGTTATCACGGATTTTAGGGTCGCTGATCATTAGATGGAGTGAAAGTGTCAGAGGAGAAATGT